GGGGGGGGTTATTGTAATACCGGGGGTACTGTAATACGGGGGTAGAGGGGTAAGAGAGACTATAATAATGGAGGCGGGGGTTCGGGGTTGGCCTCACTCAGTCCCTCTGTCCCTCCTTCACTCAGACCCTTCCTTCACTCAGACCCTGCCTCACTCCAGCTCTCTCTGTCAGTTTCACAGCTGCTGCCCCTGCTCCCCTTCCCCACACGGGGTGCCTTTGGCTGTCTTAAAGGATGCAGATGGTGGTTTTAAATCAGCTTATTTTTTTGAAATGTGTATGTTGGTGGGGAAAACAGTGAAAGTTGATCATATGAAATTTTCGGAGGATATTATACTGAATGGGATATAGAGGGACTTATAGAGACTGCAGGAAAGAGACCTCGTGTCATAATGATTCATCTTCGTCAGTTGCAGTCCTATGAACAGTGATCCCAACAGAGATGTGAGCCAGTTAGATGCAGTATTTGTTTACTGTGTGAGGCATTTGTTTTGTGGAAAACATGTTTAAAAGTGAGGAATGTGGCTGGAGGTAGATTTTTTGTTGGCCTTTGCAGTAAACGTTACAGTAGCTGACAAGGAAAATTATATCATTTCATTTGGATCAATAATGCCTCCTTTCATTTAATTTTATTTTGTATGTAATTTTATTTCTGGTTCTAATTTGCTTCCTGTTTTCCTTGCAGCATTTAGTTTAATATGCACAATGGGGGAGGTTGCATGTTGATAGTTTATTTTCAACCCTGGTTACTTGTACCACTTTATATGTTGAGGAGTGGATGTAATCTATTCCCAGCCTATGGGAGTGACTCTGGGCAGGTGGCTAAAAGCCAGATTTCTGGTCACAGATGTGCTTGCTGTGGCTTCTTTCAGGAAGTCAATATTATTGGAGCAGCCAAGTTTGTGAAAGCAGAAACAATATAAGAAATAGAAGCAGGTTGGTGTCCTGGAGCTTGTTCTGCCGTTCGATATGTTCAGAACTTATCATTCCTTCAGAACTTTATTACCTGCTTACTGTTTCCTTTGATTTCCCTGAGCATCAAAACCTCTGTCTCAGCCTTAAATGTACTCAGCAGGGGAATATCCACAACCCCATTGGATGGAGAGTTCTACAAATTCACAACCTTGTGAGTGAAGAACCTTCTCTTCATCTCAGTCCTTATCCTGAGACATAATCTGTTCAAAACTCCCCTAAGATGAGTAAACTCAGTAGGTCACACTGTTTTGAGATTCCCAACAATCCTAGTGACCAGGTTTCAGTTTCTGGCAACAAATTATTGAACAAGGACCTGTTGTAAATCATCCTTATGGTGTGAACCTGTTCGACTCAAATCTGCACTTCTAGTTTCTCAGTAACTTTCTCAAAGGCTGTCATTTTCATCAAGTGGATTACTTAGGAAGCTCCCTGCTACCCTGCAACCGGGCTTGCATCCCAATCAAGCAACTAACAGAATGCCAGAATCAATCCTGTGTGAGAATAAAGCTGGGGTCTCATTGTGATGCTTCTCACAGTCAAATAGCAGACCTAGACCCACCATGCAGCTGGTTGGCAGAATAGCCATTACCCATGGACTTCCATTACAAAAGTGAGTTGGCAAATATTTTGAGCGGATGGGTGGAGACAAACTGGCAGATGGGAAAGAAAGAGGAAATTGTGGTTACATTAAATTGTTACTTTATTTGTGACACTGGTGCAAGTGTACGATCAGAATCATTGTGCCTTATTAATTCCTCACCTCTGATTACTCACAATACTGCAACTGCAAGTGGCAACCACAAGTACTTCAGACAAGTATGTTATCTTCCTTGAGTGCTTTGGCTTAAAATCTATAGGTGTACTGCTGGGTATAAAGATTTCAATGATGTGAAAATTTCTTCATGTTCCAAGCATCCACCAAGCTCTGTATGTATAAAAAACGAAACATGCCTCGTGCATTTCCTTTAAGTTTACCTCCTTCACTTTAAACCAATGGCCCCCAGAATTTGACATTTCCACCCAGGAAGATGACTAAAGAATCCTTGTCATTTCTGTTGTTTTGTTTACTGCAAGTGTATTTCCCATCTTACTTCAATATCTTGGGTTCCATTTGTTAAGTTTAGGAATAAATAGTGAGCAGGCTGTCTTGTTTGTGCGCTGGGTCAAGTTTTCAGTTTAGCAATTGCAGGTAAATCATTGACCAAAATGGACAATGCACGTCAGTAATAATCTTTCTCTCAGCTTTTCCTCACATGACTCCTAAGGACAACTCAGAATTTCAGGTTTAAAAAAAAAATTGTTTTTTAGTCGTAATTTTGTCTTCCCCTGATTTTTTTTTTTATTTTCAAGCTCTTTGTCAGCCTTCTTCACATAAGTTTGTTCTTGATAATTTGCAACAGACCTCTGTTCAATAGTTTGTCATCATCTGCGAAACTGCTCTGGAAATGCTCATATAAAGTGATCGTATTCTGTTGCCAGAAACTGAAACTTGGCCACTAGAATTGTTGGGAATCTCAAAACAGTGTGACCTACTGAGTTTAGATCTCCTCTGTCCAACTTCTTCCAGACACACAGAGAGAGAAAGCGGTGTTTCAGAGGAGACAGTTCTAAGCAATCTAATTGAGGGAAGACAACAAAGCATGTGCTGAAGGGGAATCTTGCATGGATGCGAGTGAAAGGTATGCTGCACATTGGTGAATAGTGTGCAGCAAACAGTTGGCTTTTAGCTGGTCTATTTTAGGTGTGCAGAACAGGAGGCTGCCAGTATAACATTGTCACTGGTAAGTCTGATGATGAATTCAAGCTGATGTTCTTTGCCCTGAAATTGACGTGAATGCGGAAACCGCTGCTGCGTGGAGTGGTTGAGTAAGATTGTGCAGATGAATTTTAAGGGGGTGGGGGGTGGATGCTGGATGAACGAGAGAGGTATAAGTAGCAGGATATGCTTGTAAGAAGGGAGGGAGAGCAGGTTCATATGGAATATAAACTCCAGTATGGACCATTTGAACTGAATATCCTGGTTCTGTCCTGTATATCCTATTTGTTATTCAGGGCTATTTCAACTGAGGTGGTCCTGTGCTGTTAACATAGAACAGTACAGCACAGGAACAGATCCTTCAGCCTACCATGAGTGTGCTGACCACAATGCCATTCTAAACTAATCCCATCTGCCTTCTCATGGTCTGTATCCCTCTATTCCTTGCCTGTTCATGCATCTATCTATCTGCATTTACCACCTCCCCTGGCACCTATCACCCTCTGTGTGTTTAAACAAAAACTTGCCTTGCTTTCCCCTTTCACTTTAAATCTATGGCCCCCAATATTCGATGTTTCCACCCTGGGCGGGGTAGGGGGGGGACAGGCTTAAAAAAAATCCCTGTCATTTCTGCCACTTTGTTTATTGCTTGTTACTTAGTGGTGAATCACTACATTATATAATCCCTACACTGTGGAAGCAGGCCATTTGGCCCATCAAGTCCACACTGATCCTTGGAAAAGAATCCCACCCAGACCCTATCTGTGTAATCTTGTATTTCCCACCCAGCCTGCATGTTCCTGGACACTAAGGGGTAACCTACTGTGGCCAATCCACCTAATTTGCACTGTGGAAGGAAACTGGAGCAAACCCACACAGACATGGGGAGAATATGCAAATTCCACACAGTCAGTGGCCCAAGGGTGGAATCGAACCTGGGTCCCTAGCACTTTGAGGCAGCAGTGCTAACCGCTGAGCCACCGTGCCACCTGCTGGTCAGTTAGCTGTATTTATATTTTTGTAAACTGCAAGTGTTTTCCTCATCTTACTTCAATATCTTGGATTCCATTTGTTAAGTTTAGGAATAAATAGTGAGCAGCTCTCTTGTTTGTGTGTTGGGTCAGGTTTTCTTTTTAGCAATAGCAGGTAAATCATTGACTAAAATGGACATTGCACATTGGTAATTACCTTTCTCTTGGCTTATCCTCATATGACTCCTCTGCCTAAGGCTTGGGGATAAAGGCCATTGTGCTGTTTGTGCCTGAAATCTGCACCTTGCCTTGTGTCTGATTCATCAGCAAAGCAGGATCTTTACATTTCTCTCACATTTAAATCATTGGGTCCCCCTCCTCTATCTAACCTTCTCCAATCTCTGCTCCCTAACACAACCCTTGTGCATCCCTCCTCATTTTAGCTTCATCAATGGCTGAAATACCTTCAGCTTTTCCTAAACCTCTGTCTCTGGTCTCCTGACATTGCCCCACTCCAAGCTACTGCTGCTCCTTTCGCCACTTGGTCACTGTCTTGCTACAAAATGTTTCCTCAGCACCTTGGCTTCAGGAGACCCATTAAAATCCCTTCCCATCATGCTTTTGCTCCGAGTCCCTCACTCCCTGTTTCTATCACTTCCCCTCCACTACTCCCCTGTTCACTGGCTAACCTGTTTGCCACTCGTGAAATGTCAGTTGTACAAATCGCAATGATGTATCAAAGAAAAGTGGTCAATATTTATCCCTTAACCAAAATTAGCGAAGCTGAAATCTTCTCATTTCCACATTGCTGTCTGTGCGCGCCTATGCCCTTTCCTACATTCCAAAAGGGACTGCACTTCATAATAATTAATTGACCACTAAGCACTTCAATGCACTCTGGGGTCAAAATGGGTGCAATACAAATGCAAGACTTTTTTATTGTCTTGATCACCACTGGCATCCCTTTGTACATAATGAAACGTCAGTTGTTTGAAGCTAACAGAATGTCGGCTTTCTGTAGTCCTGTTTGAGGTACTGAGTCTAATTAAAGTCTCTGCTGTGGGTCTTAAAGATGAATACTGCAGTGTTAATTACCAAGTTGAATAAAAAGGAATTATGTAACTAGTTTGCATCATTCAAAGATTGCAACTAAGCAGTTTGTTGCAGAGTGAGGCTCATTACAAATGCAGAGGGGAATCCTTCTCCTAGTTGTCGTGTTGTTGCTAGAATTTCATGAAAGCACAGCAGTGGAATGTGCTGTTTTTGTGTTGTCCACTCTGAACTGTGAAACATCCAGCCATGCAAACTGTAACTTGACTTGTATTCTAGAAAGAGCACTTTCACCTCCAGTGCTGGTAGGGATAATGATGAGACGGTAAATTTAAAATCACTATTATTAGCTCATGTGTAGGAATGATAGTAGAGTAGTGGTAATACCACTAGACTAGAAAACAACAGGATAAATCCCTGGGGACGTTTGATTCCAGTGCAGCTAAAATTCAATGAATGAATTAAATTGAAAGTCTAGTCTCAGTCATGGTGATCGCAGAACTATAAGAAAAATTTCCATCTGGCATACTAATGCCAACAAAGAAGGAGAGCTACCATCCCTACCTGGTTTGTCCTCGACATGACTCCAGACCCAAAGCAGTGTGGTTGCTCCTTAGCTGCCCTCTGAAATGCCCCTAGCAAACCACTCGGTTTAAGGGCTGTAAGGGACAGGCAAAACAATTTAGACTTAACCAGAGAAATCAAACATCTGACAAAGAATAGCGTTTCTTTCCTCTTTTGCTTTCCCCTTTTAATGTATTATACCAAATACTCTCAGAATGTGTTAAAATTAAATTATTTTATCACGGCCTGATTGGTAAATGGGAAGTTTGGGGTTTGGGTTAAGTGCACAGAATGTATATGAGGAAGATGGGAAAGCTACTTCCTTAGTGACAAGGCCTTTCCTAAAAGATTGAAATAAAAACAGGAAATAATCGGTTAAGGAGAGAGAAACTGAGTTAACATTTCAGATCAATAAGCTTATTAATCAGACGGAAGGGTCATCAGCCTGAAATGTTTAACTTGGTTTCTCTCTCCACAGAAGCTGCCTGACTTGGCTGAGTATTTACTATAGATGCTAAGCATCTGAAATATTTTGATTTTTAGCACAGAGAACAGACAATAAAGTAGATTTTATGGACGTTGGTGAGACTCCTCTCCGTAACTGCAGAAAATTTATTTCTTTTGTTTTTAATTGTATGAGCAATGCCAGAGCTGGGAGATGTAAATGTATTGCTATAGAGAAGGAGCAGATGTTGGATTTCCCACATTCTTCACAATCCAACTAGGAATAGGATTAACGACTGGGGAAGGTTTACTGAATACAAGCCAGAAAGTTGACGCATTTAAATTTTGAAGAGTTTCAAATGTTTATTTTAATTTCATTGATATTTGTAGTTGGCCCAGTAATTTAGTTTCATGGATATGAGTGTTGGCGAGTATTGACTGGCGATTGCAAACTGCCCTTGAGAGCTGGTGGTGAGCTGACGGCCTTTTGAATTGCTGCATGCCATGGGTGTGGATGTAGGTGTTCACTGGGTGGGTTTTGACCCAGTGACAGTGAAGGAATGGGTGAGACGTTCTAAGTCAGGAGGTGTGTGACATGGAGAGGACCTTGCAGCTGTCGGTCTTACCTTTCTCACTAGGAGAGGTCCTGGGTTTGGAAGGTGCCTTGGCAAGTTACTGCAGTGCATCTTATAGGTGGTACACAACTGCTTCTGTGTGTCGGTGCTGGAGGGCAAGACTGTTTTAAGGGGTGGATGCAGTGAAGATCAAGCAGGCTGCTTTGTCCTGGATGGGGTCGAACTCCATGAATGCTGTTGGAGTTGCACTAATCCAGGCAATTGAGGAGTATTCCATCCTACTCCGAACTTTTCCCTTGTAGATGCTGGACAGGATTTGGGGCATCAGGAGGTGAGTTACTCGCCAAAAAATTCTCAGTCTCTGTCCCTGCTTTTTTTTGGGAGTTGCTGACTCAGTTGGTAGAGGGCTGTACATTCAAGTTTTATGCCTGGCCACCGCTTCATTTTGGGTCTGGTGGTGCAGTGGTAGTGTCCCTATTCTAGGCCAGAAGATCTGGGTTCAAATCCCATCTGCCACTAACAGTTCTGACCTGCTCTTGTAGCCATATATTTATATGGCTGCTGCAGTTCAGTTTTGGATCTCCTAGGATGTTGATAGTGGGGGAATTCAATGATAAATGATGCCATTGAATGTCAAAAGGAGATGGTTAGATTAATTTTCTCAGTGAAGTTGGTCATGGCCTTGCACTAATGCAGAATAAAGGCTACTTGCCAAGCTAATTTAATTAATATCTAGGAGGCAGATAGTTTCTGATGTTTTGTTACGGAGATTGTCAGATTTTTGATTTTAAGTTTTTGCTTTAACAAGTGAATTGCATACAGATATAATTTGTGCTTCAAGTAATGCATCTAAGCGGCTTTCACATTTGCGTTCTCGTGTCAGATAAAAGTGAATAATTAATGAGGGACAGAAACAGATGTCTGCATAATAACAGTAAGTAAACAAGGTACTTCAGTTGCTGGACAGGAAGGGTTTTTCATTAAATATCTCAGCCTTGTGTTCTTGGTTTTTGATGCTAAATAGCCACATCAGGATTGCGCAGGTAGTTGTGTGATGCAGCAATCTCACAATTCCTTCTGTTCCAAATTCCAAAACTCTCTTGAAACACATCCTTCTTCGAAAAGTATTCACATCCAACTCAGTTTTGAATAGACTAGCCATCTAACCCTTCTATAATTTCCCACTTCCACCCCACTACCTAAAAGGTCTGGATTTGAAATGTTTTTATAAAATGTCGGTATTTCTGCTTTTACCGTACTTTTGCGTTGAGGCACTGACCTGATGCATGTGGATAGACAATGCCTGAATATTTAATCCTTTCACTAGCTCCAGTTTTGTAAAAATTCTGCTGGGAGCAAGTTCCTTGTTTAACTTTCTAAAGAACCAATCAAACTTGTGACTATTTTTTAAAAAAACACCATGGCCTTGCTCTCTCCCTACTCACAGACAATGCAAGGATCATCATTTGGATGACACCAGAGGGAGGTTACAGATTGAAGTCACAAAGACCCAGTACAGATGTGATGGGTTGAACAGTCTTGTGCGCTTCAAGCTTTGATGGACCTAAACCAGTAGGGCCACTCATGATAGCTATCCCATTTGGGTTTGGCAGAGGCCTTTTTAAACATCACAGCAGATGGATTAATCTGAGTTTCATGTTCCTGCTTCTGTAGTACCAGTGAGTTTGGGACTTTCTCTCTGAATCCCATTCTATCATTGGCATATTGTGTCTGATTCATTGTGTATTGGTGAATAGCATCAAACTATTTTACAAGAAAGCACTCAAGTCCATTATGTATTTGTCTTGACAGATCAGACCAGTGGCAGCCTTGGATGTTGCGGTTGGGTCTTGGTAATATTGTCTTATTTCTTCATGATCATCAGTTTCCCCCTGTCCATCTGGTTGTGCATAAAGGTAAGGCCATAGATATATTACAGGATCAAACTCAATAAGAAGGAAACTTGTAATTAGACTCCAGTGTTTGCAGTATGAATGCCTGACTCTCATTTTTAGTGCAAGGGACCAGTATTGATGCCTTTTGTTCAATGCCTTCCCATAGCAGTGGCTTTAAACTGATTTATTTTCCTTGAGAGACAAGGATTCTGTAACTTGAGGTTTTAAATTTTTAAAAGAGCAAAACAAAATGGGAGTAGCCCCAGTGTTTACTTGGTTATCCCCATTGTTCCAATGTTTTGATAATTCGAATGAATGTCTCTCTGACTAGTGTGGATTGCAGTGTGTGAACTGCATGGATAGGTCCAGCCTTTGAGTAAGAAATGCTACTCATGTTTGACTCTTAAATCATCAAAGAACCTTTTCAGCATGTGTAGAATATTATTGTGCCATTGCCAAAATACCTTACAAACCAAGGGATTGGAATAATGGGACAGGTTTGATGCTAGTCCTTTGCAAATTACCTTGTATTTTGTATCCCTGTGAGTGGAAGTTGTAATATATCTTTGAAGCTGGCAGTTACCTTTTTAGAGCTTCGCACTCCCTCCGACTTGATTGTCGTGCCAGGAGCTGTATTCATCTTCCTAATGTGCACTCTGCATTGAAATGAGGGGACTGTCAAACACACAGAATGAGGAATGACTGGCTGAGCATTATGCACTATTTGCATCTTCATTGCAGTGGCTGTACAATCAGATGTGCCTTGCTAAAGTTAATGAGATCTTTCAGGACTGCTTGAGGCCCATCAATGTGGGCAATTGTGATACCTTCCCATTTTGGATAACCAGGCACTTGCTTGCTCCCAGCACCACGTACACCCCAGTTAAGTGCAAAGGTGTGCTTCCTGTTACATTACCCAATGACTTGAATCCCTCCAGCCCTCCAACAACAATTTCCATTCACATGAACTTCCAATTAAGATTCTTCAGTCACTTAAAAGTGGCTTGACTTGTATTAAGCTAGCCAGAAAGTGATTGTCAATCTAGGCCAGGTTTTGGATGCAGTATTATAGTGACAGTTTGCCCTTTTTAACTGACAGTCACACCAGCCCACGGTGTTGGAAGTTATAAAATCCTAGAATCCTTACAGTGTGGAAAGAGGCCATTTGGCCCATCAAGTCTGCACCAACTCTCCGAAGAACATCCCACCCAGACTCATTCCCTAGCCTATACCTGTAACCCTGTATTTCCCATGGCTAATCTACCTAGCCTACACATCACTGGTCACTATGGTCAATTTCCCATGGCCAATCCGTCTAACCTGCACATCTTTGGACTGTTAGAGGAAACAGGAGCACTTGAGAAACCCAAGCAGATGCGGGGAGAATGTGCAACCTTCATACAGACAGTCGCCCAAGGGTGGAATCTAGCCTGGGCCCCTGGCGCTGAGAGGCAGCAGTGTTAACCACTGTGCCACCCTTATTTCTTACTGCCCTTTATTTCTTAAAATGGAGCAGTTCTTTCTTTGTCTTTCACCATTTGATTGCAGCCCAAACTCTTGGTAGTTTCTGAACAATGTATATTAAACAGAATCAAAATGGGATTTTTACATATTAAAAGTTTAATTTTTTTCTCCCCTCCTGTGTCACAGATTGTTAAGGAGTATGAGCGAGCTATAATATTTAGACTTGGGCGCATTCTGGCAGGAGGAGCTAAAGGACCAGGTAAGGACGAGGGAGAGTTAAACACCAATCTAAGTTGTACTTTTGAATTTTAATTGGTTTTCTTACAAAATTCTTTTAAAAACCAACAGTCTTTTTGTGTAAATCTTCCTTAGCATGTCCTTCCTGCTGTCATGAATTTGGGTGATGCTTTGATGTCGACATTTAACTGCCTAGAATGGGAATTCTAGATTATGTTATATAAACTAACGCATTGTGCTAGAATCTGAAGTCCTGAAATCTCTTTACTCATGTTTGCAGCACAAAGATCGGGGGGCTTTTGGTCCACTGTGCCTATTCTGGCTCTCTAAAAGAACACCTCTGTCGTTCTTCCTCCCCAATAACCCTGCGTTTTGTTTTTCTCTCCCAATTCACTCCTGAGCCATAATCGCATCTGCCTTCATTGCAGTCTCAGATCCTAAAGACTTGCTGCATGGAAAAGATTTCCCTCAGGTCATTGTTGGTTAAGTTGGTGCCCTCTGAGTCTCCTCCTTCCTCTGTTGACAACATTTTCTCTCTATCTCCGTCGTCCAAAACCCTCATGATTTTGAACACTTTTCAAATATCCTCTCTAGCTTCTCTCCACTCAACCAAAGTCCCTCAACCCTGGAGTCGTTCTAATAAATCTGTTCAAAAGCCTTTTCTTGTACGTGTTTTAAAAAAAAAGTTGCCCCTGCTTCTAGTTAATTAATGCCTCAACTTTAAAATCCTCAATCTTTTTGTTTTCAAGTTCCTCTGAAGTACCAGCCCTCCTTATTTGTGTAACTTCTTCCAGGTCTTCAGTCCTTGAATACCTGCACTGCTCCAAGGCTGGTTTTTTTAAGCACCTCTGATATAAATTGTTCCACCATTGGTGGCTGTTCAAGACCTTAAGTACCAAGAATCCCTTCCCTAAACCTCACTGCCTTTATACTTAACCTCTGTCCTTCCTTTTGGGCCACCCCTTTTGAAATCGACTTCTTTGACTCAGCCTTTGGTCACCTTTCCCCTCGCTTAACGTGGCCAGCCGTCATGTTTCCATAAGACCCCTGTGAAGTGCCTTGGGAGGTTTTGCGTTGCCAAAGGCGCGGTGTACACACGTGTTTTTGCGGTTATTAAAAACACGATGAGGTCAGCAGCGTACGCAACGCCATCCCCAAACAGAACCCTTTTAAAAGTTGGGCACTTTGGTGCGATTTAGGGAAGCCGTGACCCAATGCATGTTGTATTGGGGGCTCTGTGTAGGTTGATGTGGCTCTTTTAAGGTGGTCTGTCTTGACGATTTAAAGCTGCATGTTTGCTGAAGAGACTCAGTGGTTGCACGGCTTTGACAGAATACCTTCTGTGAGACTCACCTTTTCTCTTTTGACTGACCGGTTCAGCATTATGATTGCAAAAATAGATGCTGCTTTTGTTTTATTTTTAAAAGAAGATGTTCTCCTCTCCTCCTCTCAAGGCACTGACTTGCGCTGGGGTTTGTTTCCACGTGCGTTGTCAGCCACCCCTCAGCAGGTACCTCCGTCTAAGTGGCTGTTGTTGATTTTCAATGCAGTTATTCTTTGTGCTGTTGTGACCCAGCCATCTACTCCAGTCTGTCGTGGTGGGCAGGGGTTTCGGGGGCCAGTCCAACCAGGGATTCCCCCACCCCACTTCCCCCCACTCAGTGTTGTTAGTGATTGTTGGAGATGGTGGAAGACGGGGGCGCGGGGGAAAGGGGCAATGTTTAAATGACTTCCAGCCTCTTGCTCCCCTCCTCTGACTGCCTTGCCACTCCCTAGATTAGGAAAAGTATTGCTGCTGTCTCATCCACCTGTTAAAATGAAAAGCAACACATTATTTAATGTCAGGCAAAGATCAATATTTTACTTAGCCTTAGTGGGGAGGATTTATGGCTCTGATCCAAATGCTCTTCAATTTTTCACACTGCTGGTGTGAAGTATGAATTTTACTTCTCTGTTTTCTTTTCTCTCACCTGTCCCAGTTTGTGGCTACCTTCTTTCAAGGATGCCTTACCTTCCTGTGACTGATGGTGAGCTCTTTGACTTAGGTCAGCTGATATGCGTGCCAGCATTTCCACAGTGTTCCTGTTTTCCCTTTTAAATTTGTATTCCCCCGTCCATCTAAATTCGAATGTACCATCGAGAAGTTCTTGGTATGTGAACGGGGCTGCGTAACCCACCATGTCATTCCCCACCCCCTCCCACTTCCCTCCGGAAGAGGTACCTCTGCTAGACTTTTTACCCCTGAATGAGTCCCGGGGTGACTGGGAGTAGCAGCGATGCTGTGCGTTTTCGCATAAGTTTAAAGTTTGACTTCTTACTGCAGAGCGTTATCCTCGTGGAGCTGGTATCTGAAGCATGGGGAAAGTATGAGAAAGTTGGGGGAGGAGGTTAAAAAGAAACCTCCTTTGTTAATAGTGGAAAGAAAGAAACTAATTTTGATTATCATCTCCACGCCCTCAATGAGTGGGTTTGGAATAAAATAGCTGATTCACTTGTACTGATCCACCACTTGTAGGCAATTCTGTGATCAAACAAGAATGTGTACGCCAGTGAAAGTTGGTGTGTCAAATATAGCCTTTTGTTTTTTTGCTTTTTAATGTATGTGCTTTTTGAATATGTCAATGGATTTAGTTTATTGCAAAGAAACCAGTTCCAGCAACTGCTATTAGCTTGAATGCTCTGCCTACCTGTGTATCACAGAACCCAGCCACTGTGTTATCATTTAGAAACTCTGGTTCTGTACGTTTTGCCCAGTTGATTTAATCTCTTGGCAAGACCCAGAGCTTACTTTCCAAAACCCATCTCATAAGAAGGGTACTTCTCCAAGCTCCTCCATTACCCTGGTATTATTGTAGAATTACATAGAACGTGCTGCATGGAAACAGGTTGTTTGGCCCAATGTTTTTTGTTATTCATTCATGGGTTGTGGCACTGTTGGCAGGCCAGCATTTCTTACCCATCCCTAACTTCCCTTGAAAAGGTGGTAGTGAGCTGCCTTCTTGAATCGCTGCCTTCTTGAATCGCTGCATTCCACATGCTGTAGGTATAACTACAATGCCGTTAGGGAGGGAATTCCAGGATTTTGACCCAGTGACAGTAAAGGAACTAAGATATCTTTCCAAGTCAGGATTGTGAATGGCGTGGAGGGGAACTTGCAGGGGGTGGTGTTACCATGTATCTGCTGCCCTTGTCCTTCTAGATGGAAGTGGTCGTGGGTTTGGAAGGTGCTGCCTGAGGGTCTTTGGTGAATTTCTGCAGTGCATCTTGTAGGTAGTACACACTGCTGCTACTGTTTGTCGGTGGTGGAGGGAGTGGGTGCTTGTGGATGTGGTGTTAATCAGGTGGGTTGCTTTGTCATGAATGGTGTCAAGTTTCTTGAATGTTGTTGGGGCTGCACTCATCCAGGCAAGTGAGGAGTATTCCATCACACTCCTGACTTGTGCTTGTAGATGGTGGATAGGCTTTGGGGAGTCAGGAGGTGAGTTATTTGCTGTTGTATTCCTCACCTCTGACCTGTTCTTGTAGCCACTGTGTTTATGTGGTGAGTCCAGTTGAGTTTCTGGTCAATGGTAACCCCCAGGATGTTGATAATGGGGAATTCACAGTTGTTAGATTCACTCTTGCTGGAGGTAGTCACAGCCTGGCATTTGTGTGGTGTGAATGTCACTTACCACTTGTCAGCCCAAGCCTGGGTATTGTCCAGATCTTGTTGCATTTGAAAACAGACTGTTTCAGTTTCTGAGGAGTCACGAATGGTGCTGAACATTGTGCAATCATCAGCAAGCGTCCCCACTTCTGACCTTATGATGGAGGGAAAGTCATTAATGAAGCAACTGAAGATGGTGGGGCCTAGGACACTACCCTGAGGGACTCCTCAGAAATGATCTTGGGACTGAGATGACCAACAGCCACAACCATGTCCAGGTATGACTGCAACCAGAAGAGAGTTTGTTTCTTTCTCCCCCGATACCTGTTGACTCCAGTTTTGTTGACGCTCCTTGATGTCACATTCGGTTGATGACACCTTCCATCACTTTACTGATGGTTGAGAGTAGACTGACGGGGTGGTAACTGGCTGTTTTTTTGTTTGTGTACAGAGCATACCTGGGCAATTTACCACATTGCTAGGTAGATGCCAGTATTGTAACTGTATAGAAAGAGCTTGGCGAGAGGCACAGCAGGTTCTGGAACATGTCTTCAGTACAGTTGCTGGAATATTGTCAGGGTCCATAGCATTTGCAGTATCCAGTGTCTCCAACTGTTTCTTGACATCACATGAAGTGAATTAAATTGGCTGAAGACTGGTATCTGTAATGCTGGGGACCACTGGAGGAGGTGAGATAGATCACCAAAGTTTGGTACTTTTGGCAAGTTGTTGCAAATACTTCAGCCTTATCTTTTGCACTGATGTGCTGGGCTCTTCCATCATTGAGGATGGGACAGTTTGTGAAGCCTCCTCCTGCAGTGAGTTGTTTAATTGTCCACCACCATTTACAACTGGATGTGGCAGGACTGCAGAGCTTAGATCTGATCTGTTGGTTCTGAAATCTGTTTTTCCTTGTTGGTTCCCTGACCACCTGCTGCAGACCCAGCCTGGCAGCTATGCCCTTTAGGACCGGACCATCTCGATCTGTAGTGCTGCTGCTGAGCCACTCTTGGTGGTGGATGTTGAAGTCCCCCACCCAGAGTGCATTCTGTGCCCTGGCCACACTCAGTGCTCCCTTTGATGCTGTTCAACATGGAGGAGGACTGATTCATCAGCTGAAGGATGTGTTACTACAGGAGGTTTCTTTACCCATATCTGACCTGAAACCATGAGACTTCATGGCGTCTGAAGTCAATGTTGAGAACTCCCATGGCCACTCCCTCCCCACTGTATACCACTGTGCTGCCACCTCTGCCTGGTCAGTGTTGGTATTATCTGATTTGCTGAGTATAATTGCTTGACTAGTCTGCAAGAGAGTTTTCCTAATTCTGGCACTAGTCCCCAGATGTTAGAGAGGAGGACTTCCAGTGGCGACA